AAGCAGTTTGGAGGCCGGAGTGACTAAATGACAAAGCGGGTGATGGTACAAGGCAACATTGTCTATAATGAGAATAAACAAATGGGACAGGAGGAGAAGCAAAAGGCAGGCCCAGAGGAGGCAAAATGTGAACCGCAGTGCCAGTACCTACTCTCTGACAGAATGGGTAACACAATTATTGCCCCTGACATTTTAGTCATGAATGTTGAGTGTGGAAATGTCACCAGAGTGACCAGGTGTCCTTGGACATATATGACAGAACATGTCAGAAGATTCAGCAGCCAAATGGCAAATGGTAGGTTAGCTTTTATTTCAAAGGGGTTTGAAGAATGAGTGAACTCCACTGGAGTACTGTGAGCAGTTTCCGATGAGTGGACTGACATAATCTAGAGTGAATGTAACAAAGGTTCTCCAGACTGGTTCCTGGGAAGTGGGGATTTCTGAGGAGGAGAAATTGAGTAAACTGGGCTGATACTACGTGGGATAAAAATCAAAGTCACCATTGTGCTACTGGACAATGGGCTGTCTCTCATTAGAAAAAGACAAATGGTGGTGGCTAATCTGAGGGTCAAGCAAGGGGAGAAGTCGAGAAAGATAATGCTTTATGGTCACCTTAGCTGAAGGAATTCAACCCAGACTGTCGGTACTACTCCACATCATAAATCAGCCGGCCAGCCAACTCAAATAACCGACACCAACCTGTGGGATATAGAGGTGATCGAATTGAATTATCTTTTTTAGGAAGATGCTTGACAGGAACAATGCTGAGCAAATGTTTCCTCTGGCTCGGGAATCTAGGACATATGGGGGTAACAGTCTCAGAATAAGGGTGTGACCATTTCAGATTGAGGTGAGGAGCAATTTCTTCATTCACACAGCTGTAAATCTGTGGAATTCTTAGCCACCTACAGTTTCCAAATCAGACATTGATATATTTTTGTACATCGGAAATGGGAGAAATTGGGATAGTCTGAGAAAGTTGAACCGAGGTAGGAACAACAAGCTTGAAGGGCTGATGGATGTTTCCTGCTTCTCTTTCTACTATGCATTAAACCTCAGTCTGGATCCCTCTTGCTGTTGCATGTGGGAAGTCAATCTTTCCTGAGAAATCACTAAGATATGAGCCTACAAAATCACGCCCTAGATTAATTCCGCCCTCGGGTGACTGACTGTGTAGAGTTTGCACATTCTCCCCTTGTCTGCATGAGTTTCCTCTGGGTGCTTCGGTTTCCTACCACAATCCAAAGATGTGCAGACTAGGTGGATTGGCCATGCTAAATTGCCCGGACAGTTCAGGGATGTGTAGATTAGGTGGTTATAGGGGGATGGGTCTGGGTGGGATGCTCCAAGAGTTGGTGTGGACTTGTTGGGCTGAAGGGCCTCTTTCCACAATGTAGAGATTCTATGATCATTCTATGATACCGTTTGCAACTTAGGGTTAAATGTGGGCAGTTTCTTTTTAAAGATGTGAGTGTATTCAGTGTTATCCAGCAGTTCAGTTCTAATTGGGAGGGTGACTTCACAAAACAAGGAACAAATATGCGGCAGGTCAGTCAGTGATTCACTGCAAATTAGCACTAATGAATGGCCCCTGTGAATAGAGGGTCACAAAATCCATCACGTCAGTCCAGAATAGAAACCAAAAGAACTGCGGGTGCTGTAAACCAGGAACTAAAACAAAGTTACTGGAAAAGCTCAGCAGGTCTAGCAGCATCTATGAAGGAAAAAACAGAGTTAACGTTTCAGGCCAGGTGAACTGATGGTGGTTGGGAAAACATCAGTTCATATGCAGAAAAATGGGGAGAGGGGATTGGGTATGGAGTAAACAATAGGATAGAGCCTAAAGAGAGAAGAGCAGTTGGATAGACAAAGACTTGATAACGATCAGGCTGGGAGGGTGAATAGTTGTTAATGGGAACTATTAGTGACAACAACAGGTGGTGTGTGATGGCAGGCTATGTGGTAACACGGCCTGGTGTGTGGGGTATGGGGGCTAGGACATGGGAGAGTTTAGGCCCTAAAGTTATTGAATTTGATATTGAGTCCAGAGGGCTGCAGGGTCCCCAGGCAGAAAATGAGGTGTTGTTCTTGTGTTGTTTTTTAGTCCAGAATAGAAATTCACAAAAGGCACAAGACAGCAGGAACAAGGCAAAACACTACAGCGTGAGCAGAAATGGCAGGGCAGTGAGACTGTTTGAATTGCGGCTACCACAGGCAATGACTCCTTCTCTGATTTTTGCCCAGTGTCTGTCTAATTCACTTTCTGTTATGTCAGAGTTCCCACACGAGAGTTAATGTTTAGAAACTAGACATGAACCAAAGTTGTTGATCTCAGTGTGAGGACAAACTGGTGTTCAATATTAGGTCACTGAACTCACTTCAATGAGTTCACTCGTGAATTTATTTTCTCCCACTCTTTCAAAAAAAAAATTGTGAAAAAGAAGGGCTGAAATCTACCAATAGACCACATAGGAGAAGTGTTTGATATTTTCACTGTCAACTCTGCAGATGGATTATCAGTTCATTCAGTCAACAACAGAAATGAGAGGGGGTTCATTAGGGTGGATTTAGTTACTCACTGTCTCCAAGAGTGAGAAAGACTAAGTTGGGAAAGAGGGAGAGCAGCAGTAGAAAAAGTGGTGCAGAGAGAGCAACAAACACAGCAGACAAAGGATAAAAACCAAACACTGGAGAAACTCGTAACTGCAGATGCTGGAGAATCTGAGATAACAAGATGTAGAGCTGGATGAACACAGCAGGCCAAGCAGCATCATAGGAGCAGGAAGGCTGACATTTCGGGCCTAGACCCTTCATCAGAAATGGGGGAGGGGAAGGGGGTTCTGAAATAAATAGGGAGAGAGAGAGGGGAGGCAGATAGAAGATGAGTTGCAGTGGGAGAGAGATCCCGAGGTTTGTCCGGAGGGAGGAGGGTAACATTTTTAGGCTAGACATCCTTAGAAGAGGCTTCGCAGTGGGGTTAAAATTGTATCAGAGATAGTAGGAACTGCAGATGCTGAAGAATCTCAGCAGGATTAGCAGTATTTACAAAAAGCAAAACAGAGTTAAGGATTCGATTCCAGTAACCCTTCAGAGAAGCATTTTGATGTCTGATTCCTATGAATGACCAAAGTGTCTTTTGTCCTGTCCCCACCTCTAATCCTGATCTTTTGTGCTGTTCCCCTGACCTTCTGCAGCACTGACATCTCCTCTAAACTCCCTCCTTCTTGTACTTTGCTCAACCAGACTACTCAGAATGTCGTCTCTCTCTATGCTAATTTATTTAATTCTATCACAGACCTTCTCCCTGATTTCTACTTCAATATTATCTCTCTCACGAATGAGCAGATGCAAAGTATTCATTTAGAACCCTACCTGTGTCCCCTGGCTCCACACACAAATTACTGCTGCAGTCCTTAATGGGCTTTACTCTTTCCCTTGTTATCCTTTAACCATCAATGTACCTGCAAAACAATTGACTATTTTCCTTTATTTTACCTGCCTGTATCCATTCAGCCCCACTTTTAGCTCTCCTTGTCTCCCCTCTTAAGTTCCCTCTTGTACATTTACTTGAAAGTATCTGCTCCCAGTGCACTCTGGTTAAATCATATGTGATCTCACTAAAATCCTTCAGTTTATAACTTTGATTTCAGGCCCTTCTTTGTCCTTTTCCACACAAGCATGAATCTAAAAAAGTTACAATAACTATCTGCAATATACTCCCCGACTGACACTTCAACCACTTGCCTAGCTTTGTTGCCTAAAGTGAAGTCCAGGACCACCCTTGCCCTTGTTTGGACTTCAACGTATTGGCTTAAAAAATATCCTGGATGTATTTTAAAAATTCCTCTATACATTTCACACTTTGATGACCACCTAGGAAGTTGAAGGCCCCTGATATTATGAACCTATTTTACACTTTGCTGAAATTTTCCTCCTTATCTATTCCTCTTGTTCTAGTTTACTTCAGGAGTTTTCCAAGATGTAATCTCTCCTTATTGCTGTAATAGATTCTCTGAACAAAACTGCAACATCTCCTCCTCTTTTACCACCTCTGCTGTATTGAATGAAGTCCTTGTATCCTGTATATTGAGCTGCCAACCATGTCTCGGTGACAGCATTCTCTTCACAACCCCAAATTTTAATTTGTATGCTCAATTCATTTGCCTTGTTCATCACACTCCGAGCATTAAAATAAAAGTCGCTCACTCTCAACAAACTCCCTTGTATCTTAACTGGCCTGTAACGTCAATACTTTCCTGACTCACTTGTTTCTTGTCACTTTGTCTGTTCATCCTATGCTTTTGAACATTCTCTCTGGATCTCAGCATCTTGCTAAGTTAATTTACACGCTCCCCACAGCACCTGTAAACCTCTCCACAAGGATGCTGCTTCCATTCTAGTTCAGGTGCAACGCCATCCACCTTGAACAAAGAGTGAATAAGAAGAAATAAAATTTCCTCCCTATGCACAGAATTCCAATGGTGCACAACATTTTCAGCATTAAAGACTATCCGTCAGTCTGGGTGTGCTTTGTCCCAATTGCTGACGTGAAGCGTACTGATTGTCTCATTCTGAGTGACAGACTCCATGGGTTCCTCGCGTTTGCTAGAGGTGAGGACGGAGGAGATAGGGGAGATAGACAGACCGTCAAAATGAGAGCCTGCTTTAGGTAAGACAGAGACTTGATGCCCAATAGTTTTAACAAAAAGCTGATTTACATCACTTTTCTCCAAAATAGGTAGCCTGACATGTGGTGTGTACAAACATCATCACAAACAAGCACAGCAAACATGGTTTGGATATAGATAACAGTTGCATCGGTTATCATCCCTACAGTTACTTGGAACTCAATGGTGGTTAACCAGTCTTACTGAACCAGGAAATTCCTTTTCACACACTGTGCAGATGGGCTGTCTTCACACAGGGTGAATGTGTTGTTGTAGAGAGACGACGTGATCATTTCTAAAAGCTACCCTACAGATACACAACTGTTATCAACATTTTATCAACAACATCAACTTTAATTGAGCAGGGATTAATAAAAATCGGTACAAATGGCCCAAAGACCACAGTTCATTCCTTGGTGCGAGTCCTAGCAAAATCCTTCAACTGTTGCTCTTTGTGAATTTGCTGATGTGTTAACAGTTTGGATGACTGAGTGAATCGCTTCCCACACATGGAGCAAGTGAACGGTCTCTCTCCAATGTGAACTTGCTGGTGTCTCAGTAGTTTAGACGAGCAAGTGAATGCTTTCCCACATTCAGAACAGGGGAATGGTCTCTCCCCTGTGTGAATTTGCTTGTGTCTCAGCAGGTCAGATGACTGAATGAATTCCTTCTCACATTCCGAGCAGTTGAATGGTTTCTCTCCAGTGTGAGATCGCTGATGTCTGAGTAGGTCAGATGACCAATTGAAGCCCTTCCCACAAGCAGAGCAGGTGAATGGCTTCTCCCCAGTGTGACTGCGTTGGTGAGTTTCTAGCCGAGATGGGTAAAGAAATTCTTTCCCACAATCCCCACATTTCCAAAGTCTCTCCCCAGCATGCGTGTGCTGGTGTTCGGACATTTCAGATGAATCTTCACAGACTCTTCCCCACAGACTGTGTTTCTTTACAGTGACAACAGTGCTTTTCTTACAACGATCAAAATCCTGAGATAATTAGGTGATGATAAATTAATAAACTGTCAGGTGCACATGTGGTTTCATTTCAATTCTCTAATTGAAAATCAACCTTTCAAATGCAAAACTAGTGAGAGAAACCAGAAGTACACACACAGGTTGTGAAATGGAGAGAAATTAATCATGTCATTTATGGAGACAACACTTGGGGAAACTGCTGGAGTATCATTAAAACTGAACTCGTTCATAAATGTCCTTCAGTGAAGGGAATGAATTGGTGTTTGCACAAAACTACAGAAAGTGAGTGAAGTTGGAAAGGCAGGGGTGAAGGAGAGGCATTTTACACATCTACAACTCAACCCTGTTCCTGCTTTGTCCCCACACCATGTTTAGATGATCATCCAAAGAACTATACTATACGTGCCGAGCCGAATGTAGGAAAATGGAACTAGTGTAAATAGGTACTTGATGCCCAGCACAGATATGATGGGGACTGTGTTCAACAATTTTATATCAGAGACTCTGACCCCATTTTGGCTAGCAAGTTTGCGGATGATACCAAAATTAGTGGTATATGACAATGAAGAAGGTTATCTAATTATCAAAGAATCTTGATCATTTGGGCCAATGGGCTGAGGAGTGGCAGGTGGAGCTTGATTTGGATAAATGCGAGGTATTGCATTTTGGTAAAACAAACATGGGCAGGACTTATGAAGTTAAGGACAGGGCTCTGGATAGTGTTGTCGAACTGAGAGACCCCGAGGTTTCAGGTACATAATTCTTTGCAACACGTGTCACAGATAGACAGGGTGGTAAAGAAGGCATTTAGACTCCTTGCCTTCATTGCTCAAACCACTGAGAATAGGAGTTGGAATGTCATGTTGAGGTCATGCAGTCCAGGAGTGAGGCCACTTCTGGAGTAAAGTCATAGAGTTGTACAGTATGGAAACAGACCCTTTGGTCCAACTTGTCTATGCCAACCAGATATTCTAAATTAATCCAGTCTGATTTTCCAGCATTTGGCCCATATCCCTCTAAACCCTTCCTATTCACCTACCTATCCAGAGCCTGTAAATGTTTTAATTGTACCAGCCTCTACCACTTCCTCTGGCAGCTCATTCCATACATGCACCATCCTCTGTGTGAAAAAGTTGCCCTTTATGTCCCTTTTAATTTATTCTCTGCTCACCTTAAAGCTTTAACCTCTGGTTTTGGACTCCTGTACACCAGGGAAAAAAAGACCCTGGCTTTCCAACCATCCATGCACCTTATGCGAAAGAATGAGAATATCTGGAACTCACTGCCTAAAATGGGTGTGGAGCAAGGAACCCTCAAGACATTGAAGAACTATTTAGATGAGGCTTCGCCTTGGTCCTCCAGGTCCACTGTTCGTTCACTCCCATTGGTTAGAGGACCAGCTACAACCAGTACTGCCACCGATTTCTATTTGTCTGGAGCAACCGTCGGTCACTCAGTCAGCCACGCCATGTTGAGAGTTGGCACATGTGCAGTGTCGAGATCCTGAATGGACTCAGATTGAAGTGTCAAGTTTCTACCTGAGGGTCCTCTCAGAAGAATGGGGAGGGAGCAATGGAATTGGTGTTTGGGATGTGTGACCTCAGAATCACACCAAAAAACAGAAGACATTGAATACTGAAGGAACCCTACCTTCATGGCATTTGATCTGGCAATAACACCTTAGGGAAATTCTCTCACAGGATCCCAGTTAACATCTGCCATCTTCACTAGCTAGATGGATAGAGAACTGGCTGGGCAACAGGAGACAGAGTTGTAGTGGAAGGGAGTTTCTCAAAATGGAGAACTGTGACCAGTGGTGTTCCACAGGGATCCGTGTTGGGACCACTGTTGTTTGTGATATACAAGAATGATCTGGAGGAAGGTATAGATGGTCTGATTAGCAAGTTTGCAGATGACACGAAGATTGGTGGAGTAGCAGATAGTGAAGGGGACTGTTGGAGAATGCAGCAGAATATAGATAGATTGGAGAGTTGGGCAGAGAAATGGCAGATGGAGTTCAATCCAGGCAAATGTGAGGTGATGCATTTTGGAAGATCCAATTCAAGAATGAACTATACGGTAAATGGAAAAGCCCTGGGGAAAACTGATACACAGAGAGATCTGGGTGTTCAGGTCCATTGTACCCTGAAGGTGGCAACGCAGGTCAATAGAGTGGTCAAGAAGGCATACAGCATGCTTTCATTCATCGTACGAGGTATTGAGTACAAGAATTAGCAGGTCATGTTACAGTTGTATAGGACTTTGGTTCGACCACATTTGGAATACTGTGTATAGTTCTGGTCGCCACATTACCAAAAGGATGTGGATGCTTTGGAGAGGGTGCAGAGGAGGTTCACCAGGATGTTGCCTGGTATGGAGGGCACTAGCTATGAAGAGAGGTTGAGTAGATTAGGATTATTTACATTAGAAAGACGGAGGTTGAGGGGGGACCTGATTGAGGTCTACAAAATCATGAGAGGTATAGACAGGGTGGATAGCAAGAAGCTTTTTTCACCCCAGAGTGGGGGACTCAATTACTAGGGGTCACGATTTCAAGGTGAGAGGGGAAAAGTTTAAGGGAGATATGCGTGGGAAGTTCTTTACGCAGAGGGTGGTGGGTGCCTGGAATGCGTTGCCAGCGGAGGTGGTAGAGGCGGGCACAATAGCGTCATTTAAGGTGTATCTAGACAGATACATGAATGGACAGGGAGCAGAAGGATACAGATCCTTGGAAAATAGGCGACAGGTTTAGATAGAGGATCTGGATCGGCGCAGGCTTGGAGGGCCAAAGGGCCTGTTCCTGTGCTGCAATTTTCTTTGTTCACAGGAGCTGGGCACTGTGTACAATTCTGGTCACCCTGTTATAGGAAGGATATTATTAAATTGTGGACGTTTCATAAAAGATTTACCAGGCTGTTGCTGGGAATGGAGGGTTTGAGTTATAAGGAGAGGTTGTATAGATTGGGACATTTTTAACTGGAGCGTAGGAGGTTGAGGGGTGACCTTATAGACGTTTACAAAATCTTGAGGGGCATGGATAAGATGAATAGCAAAGGTCTTTTCCCTAGGGTGAAGGAGTTCAAAACTAGAAGGCATATTTTTAAAGTCGAGAGGAGAAATATTTAAAAGGGGCCTAACCGGGAAGTTTTTTTCAGAGTGTGGTTCGTATGTGGAATGAACTGCCACAGGAAGTGACAGATGCAGGTACAATTCAAACATCTTTTAGATATTTGGAGAGATACATGAAGACGAAAAGTTAAGGGGGATATGGACCAAACAGCCAAGTGGGACTAGTTTAGTTTGGAAAACTTGGGACAGCTTGGACGAGTTGGACCAAAGAGTCTGTTTCCGTGCTGTGAGATTCTAAACTTCTCTGCGGGAATCACGTACCAATTGGCTATTTCTTTCTGAACTGCCTGCACTGAGACTGAACACCACATTTAGTCTTTCAGCTTCAACTTCTCCCTGTCTCACCAAACTCTGTTTTCACCCAACTCCAAAACACTCATCTAGCCAAACATCGTCACAGTGCAGCCTTGTCATTTTCATTGTCTGCTTACACCCACTCTGACCTCAGCCTCCTGCATTATTCCAATGAAGCTCAATGGGAGCTCAGGGAACAGCATCGGCCCTTCAAGCCTATCCCGATCATCATGCCCTAGTTAAACTAAAAAATAAACCTTCTGCCCTTATTCGGTCCTTATCCCTCTCTATTCATGTAACCATCCAGATGTCTCTTAGATGTTGCCAATGTGTCTGCTTCTACCACCTCTTCTGGCAGTGCGTTCCAGGCTCCTACCCGCTCTGCGTGGAAAACTTCCCTTGCACCTCACCTTGAGCCTGTGCTCCCTTGTAATTGAAACTTCCAACCTTGGGGAAAAAGCCTCTGACTATTCACCCCTATCTATGCCTCATTATTTTGTAGACTTCTATCAGCTGCCAGCTTTCCAGTGAAAATAATCCTAGTCTTTTTAACCTTTCCTCATAGCCAATGCTATAGAAACCAGGCAACATCCTTCTGAATCTTCTCTCCAAAGCTTCATGTCCCTCTGGTAGTGTGGCGACCAAAACTGCACACAACACTCCAAATACAGCTTAAAAAGCTGCAGCATGGTTTGCCAACTCTTGTACTCCATGCCCCGGCAGATGAAGGTAAGCATACCATATGCTTTCTTAATCACTTGTGGCAATACAGGTGGCCATTGTAGGGAACTGTGGACCCGCACGGCCAGATCCGTCTGAATGTTTCTGTTCCTAAGGATTCTGCCATTTACAGTAAAATTCACACCTAAAGTTAATCCTCCAAGATGCATCATCTCGCATTTGTTTGGATTAAACGCCACCTGCCATTTCTGTGCCGAAGTTGCCAATCTATCTACATCCTGTTGTATCCTTTCATAATTGTTGGCACTTTCAGCAACTCCACCAATCTTAGTGTCATCTGCAAACTTACTAATCAGACCACTGACATTTTCCTCCAGATAATTAACAATTCGGATCCAAAGATCATTTTCAATTTGACACTTTATAACACTTCAGACTCAACGTGGACTTCAGCAGTTTCTGAATCAACAGAAAATGGTCAGGATCTGGAGTGTTGCACCTGAAGGGGTGCTGGATCTCAAGTCTCAAGTGGAGTTGGTAGATATTTGAGAATGTAGAAATTATAAATTAAAATCATGTAGTGTGACTGGGACTAAACATAACACCTCATCTGTTTGAAAGAATGGTTATTTGGGTAAATCTGTGTCCCCTCTTCCACAGCTGCTGGGCCCAGAACTGAACACACACCCCAAGGTTATGTACGATCTAACTATGAATTGTATGATTTATATGAATGTATGATCTAACCATGAATTGGAACACCTTGCTGCTTTTCGCATCACAACCATGTCAGAATTATTTTTCGTTCCACAGACAAATGCCAATGATATTCAGATCCTGATGACTCTGCTGACTGTCAGAACTTGGTTTGAGATTCTGGTATACAAATTATTCTCAATTTATATCCT